AAATTTATTACCACCTTTTAAAAAATTACATTAAAACCCAAACCATTTCCCATTTATTTTGAAGTAATCAAAATCAGTTATTGCTAACTCACAGAATTACAAGTGGCAAAAGAAAGATGCCACACCAAAAAAATCTCTTTGTTTAGCTATAATTTTTTAAGCTTTTTTAGTAAAGTAGGGCTTACCTGTACTTCTAAAATCCAAAGGCTTTCCTTAAATGAATAATATAAATACTGTCTATATTAATTTAACCTCCATTTTCTCTATTGTCAGATTTGTGAGCAGATTTAAAAATAATTAAATCCATTACTGTAACTTTTTAGCCTTTAAAAATATTATATTTGGAATATACCTAACCATATTTACCATTTAAAGGAAATATATTTAAAGAAAATACTGAATAGTATTGAATTTTGAGAGAAAACACCAACCTGAAACCTTCTAAAGGTGGGTATGTGTGAGTTTCTTGTAGCTGTCATTATTCAGTACTACCCTGCCTTGTTAGAAAGTGATACATACACAGAACGTGGCTGGACAGAATTTGTATCTTTATTACAAGTTTGTGTTAATGTAGTTGTTGATTTTCTTATATTTAGATTTTATTGTTTTTTTGAGATTTTGAAATTTTTAGAACTTTGTACTCGTAACCTGTTATGCTCATGTAATATGTATGGGACATCTCCTGGGTTATAGGAGCCTCCAGCATTGTTGAAGCAAGTTTTACTGTAATCTGAGGCAGTCAGGAGAAAGAGTGACTCAGAATGCCCCAGACTGTGCAAAAAATCAGAGACCACTAAAATCCTGTGCAGCGCCTACCATGTGTGGACACAATCTCCAGGCCTAAAACCGTCAACGTGTCTAAGGAAGGCAACAGATGAAACACATATGAAGGTTCAAAGGTGCTTTCCGAAAGGCTGAGACTGACATTTGCGACTTGGGGTCTGCTCTTAACAATATGTGAAACTGAAAGATAAATCGGACACTTAACTACCTTAAAGTTTTACTGAGCTTGTAAAAACACTTTTGAGGTCCTAAATAGGTCATTGATGCCAGACAGGGCTCTAGCTTCTTCCCTAACTACCAGGAAAATCAAAACCCTCACTTTTAAACAGTCTGATTGCTGGCTAAGGGAGACCCGTCTGTGCTATGAGAATAATCTTCTTCTTTTTCAATCACCAGGGAATACAGCACTTATCTCTGTGCTGGTCATCAAGTCACACAGTGGGAGGAACCCTGCTGTCATTGAGGAAGCCAAGGCTGAAAGAAGAGTAACTATGCAGGGTAGGAGTGCTAGGCCTGTACATCAAATACACTCTCCCTTCTCAGTCTTTCTGTATCACAGGACTATTTGGACACTTTTCTGAAATATTCTGCATGGCCCCAGAGAGATTTAATGTCAAGGCAGAACACCTCTTTTGTATAGAAAATTAAGACTAAAAATTGTAAGCCAGGGGTTTTTTCTGAGCCAGGGGATTTGCGCCAGGTAACTGCTGCAGCCCCTGCCAGTCCCAGCCCTGTTGGTCTCAGGAAGCATGGCTGTCTAGACCAGCAGTCGCCAACCTTTTGGACCTCACAGACCACTAGTGGTCTGCAGACCACCGGTTGGCGACTGCTGCTCCAAAGGTTTCTTTAAACCAGCAGTTGCCAACCTTTCGGACCTCATGGACCACCAATGGTCCGCAGACCACCGGTTGGCGACCGCTGGTCTAGACCATGCTTTCAAAGACACCCCCAATTTATTTCTGACCTCATGCCACTCCCTGTATTCACAGCTTGGCTTATTTTTTGTTTTTAGATTTGCAACTGGTCATAATTCTCAAAGTTGCAATGAAGAATGCATCTCAGACATCAGGGTAGGCATGGCCCCCAATTTGCACTGGGTACTTGAGGAAGAGATTAGTCAGGCTAAAGGGTAATGGGGACTTCGGCCTCATTATGAAACTCTACCAATATCATAATTTGGAGAAATTAAAGTGAAGATCACTTCAAGGTACAGTTGTCCCTTGGTATTGTAGGGGATTGCTTTCAGGACCCTTACTGGGTACTAAAATGGTGGCTGCTGAAGTTCCTTATATAAAACCAGAGGCCCAGTGCACAGATTCATGCACTCGTGGGGTCCCTCAGCGTAGCCTGCAGGGATTGGGCCAAAACCAGCAGTCCATTGCCGCCTGCCGCTCCTGTCTGCCGCTCCTGCTCATCCCGGCCCTGCTGTGCCTGCCACCACCACCACTTGGTAGGCTCGCTGCTGCTCTGCTGTGGTCTGCGGCCAACTGTGAGCCCTGCGTCTGGCACACATTGGTCAGCTGAGCGGCGCTCCCGCTGTGGGAGTGTACTGACCACCAGGGGGCAGCTCCTGCAACTAGTCGACCAGTTGTTCGGTCGCTTAGGCTTTTATATATATAGATGGCCTGTGAACAAGATGTGAGGTGAACAATACTCAAATGAGTGCTGGAGAGAGATGGAGGATCTGTGAAATGTCAGGAGGCTATAGCAGAGTACGCCTATACATCATTCATGTGGGTTCAGGGTAGTGCTTGGTGAGTGCAAATTCAAATGTTGCCTTTTGAAACTTTCTGGTGTATTTTACTTTATTTTATTTTTTAAATATATTTTTATTGATTTCAGAGAGGAAGGGAGAGGGAGAGATAGAAACATTAATGATGAGAGAGAATCATTGATTGGCTGCCTCCTACATGCCCCCCACTGGGATTGAGCCTGCAATCCAGGCATGTGCCCTCACCGGGAACCGCACCATGACCTCCTGGTTCATAGGTCGATGCTCAACCACTGAGCCACACCAGCTGGGCATGAAGTTGTTTTTATTTTTTAAATTATTAAATGTATTGGGGTGACAGTAATTAATAAGATTATATAGGTTTCAAGTGTATAATTCTATAATGCATCATCTGTATATTGCATTGTGTGTTCACTACCCAAAGTTAAATCCCCTTCCAGTCACCATTGACTCCTTTTACCCTCTTCTACTTTCTCCTACCCCTCTTTTTCTCTGGTAACCACCATATTGTTGTCTTGTGTCTATGAGGTGTTTTTTTTTTGTGTGTGTGTGTTTTGTTATTGTTAATCCTCACTTGAGAATATTTTTCCATTGATCTTTAGAGACACTAGAAGGGAGAGAAGATGGGGGAGGGAGGGAAGAAGTGGGGTGGAGAGAGAGTGAGAGAAAGAGAGATCAATGTGAGAGAGACATATCGATTGGTTGCCTCCTGCACGTGCCCTGACTAGAGCCAGAGGTCAAACTAGCAACCCAGGTACATGCCCTTGACCCAGAATCGAACCCACAACTCTTTGGTGCTCAGGCCGATGCTCTTGCCACTGAGAAACACTGATAAGGACATGTCTATGAGTTTTCATTTGTCGATTTCTGTTTAATATTCCACATATGAGTGAAATCATATGGTTCTTATCTTTTTCCATCTGACTTATTTTGTTTAACATATCAAGATTCATCCATGTTGTCACAAATGGCAGTATTTTTTTTTAATGGCTGAGTAGGATTCCATTTTCTTTATGCAGTCATCTATCTATCAACACTTCGGTTGTTTCCATGTTTTGGCCACTGTGAATAATGCTGCAGGGAACATATATCTTTATGAATAAATGTTTTGAGATTTTTTGGGTAGATACCCAGAAGAGGGATTGCTCGGTTATATGGTATTTCTATTTTTATTTTTTGGAGGTAGCTCCATACTGTTTAGTACAGTGGCTGTACCGATTCATGTTCCCACCAGCAGTGAATGAGGTAGCTCATTCTGGCTCCTTGACGTGTTCTCATGGTCCTTCATTGGTCCTCTCCTGGTCAAATGGAATAGGTGAGTGTGACAGTGGGGTGGCATGCCCACAGTCGCACGTGTGGCTGGGAGGAGTATTTGAGGGTAAGAACTTGGGTCTCAGAGAAGTCTACTCTGGGGATCTTTCCACAGGGCATGCTGCCTGCACATGGGATAATTTTATGGCAGTGTCCCTGTTGTTTCAAGTTTGGTGGGTGGAGTTTCTAACAGGCTAATTGTTATGGTTTTGTCACATCAGATTGTTAATATCTGAACTAATTGGTTGCTTTAATAGGTACTGAGTTAAAGAGGATTTTATCATGTCTAATGTTTTCACTGGACATTTAAAAAAGAATTTTAAAAAGTCTTATCATTTATTTCATACACCCCCAGTTATACTGTTGTTCTTCTAATTTTGTCCCTGAAACTCGGCAATGTGTATTGGTAGAGAATTCAAAGAATGTTTGTTTAGAAGGCCTGATTTAAAAAGAATATTTGGATCCATGGGTTATGCATATACGCTTATAAGTTCTTTGTTAATCTCTTCCTACCCCCCTCCCTCCTTCCCTCTAAGCTTTGTCAGTCTGTTCCATGCTTCTGAAGGAGGGGCGGGGGCGGTGCAGGATGGAAGGAATCAATGGGGAAAAGGGGGCATCTGTAATATTTTCAGCAATAAAGATAAAGAAAATATTTTATTAAAATGTCATGGGAAAATTTTTAAAAAGGTATGTTTGGTATACATGTCTCCTCTATATGATTAAACTATTTACATGAAATAATTTCTAAAAGAGAAAATTACCCATTCTGTGTGAGATTGTACAGTTTCTAAAAATAAGTAAAGAAGACCAGGAGCCTCACGGAAAATGAGTAGGATGTTTCCATGTTATAAGAAAGGTTCAGGATACACAATAAATAAATATTATCATGACAATGGAAAAAAGGGCACAGGGAAAAAATAAAAACAAAATATATAGTAGTTTTTTTTCTAAACCTCTATAATGCTTTATATTTCTCTTGAAATCAAATTTTTGAAATTAAAATGACAGGAAACTTATTTTTGCTATGATTAACATTTAGGTAAATAAATAGAAAAAGTATATTCTGACATCAGGGATTTGTCCTGAATTTACACATGGGGACTTGGGAGTTGGACATACTTGTATTCGAATTCCAGCCTCACTTTTTATGAGGTGTGTGACTCTGGGCATGTGACTTACCCTGCCAGAGCATCAGTTCTCTCCTCTGTGAAACAGGCACAATCAACCTGCTCCCAGGGTGGTGCAAGTGCCTGCCCTGGACTTGTGATTTTACAAATTCCCATCATGTTTTCTCTTTCCTCCTTTGTCCACACAACTGAACAGTGAGAATCAGTGTATCTCAGGCCTTGAGATACACTATGATCCATAGTCATCAAGAATCAATTATGTTTCTACTTGATCAGAAAAGAGTCTATTCAGGTGTCTCCATGTAAATGATAAAATAATTTATGGTTAATGCTGAAATAATCAGAGATATTCGGTTCCTTGTGCTTACTAGATCCTACTGCAGCTATTATTAGCTAATTTTGTCTTTCCTTGAACGTTACTGTGTGTGTGAGGGCACTGTGCTGTGCGATTGCTACACATCATCTCCTTGTACCAGATGGGAATCTCAGCCGGGCCAAGTCATGGAACTTGCTCAAGGTCTGCGTGTAGACCTTGGATTCCTAACTAGATAATCTTTCCATCTCATTGCACTGCTTCTGGTACAGTAGGTGTGTTTTTAAAATGTTCTAGTTCTCTGCAAATCAAGTAAAAATTTAAATGTTAACCACAGTTTAGCCATTGCCCTGTTGATGGACATTTAGATTCTTTAAGATGTTCATTATTACATCAGTTCTATAATAAGCATCCTTGGGTCTCCTTGAGTACAGGTGTGAGAGTTTCCTTAGGGTATAGATCCAAAAATGGGATTGTGGGATAACCCTCTGGTATACAGATTAATAAGAAATGAAGGTTCAGGATTATGAGAAAGTCAGAGATTCGGGACAGTCACATTTTGTAACCCAGTTATGACAAGGCTCATTGTCATCAGAGAATCCTTACCCATGCATGAGGCCAGTGTAACGCAAGGTAACTAAGGCCTCGTGAATTCAGAGCAACATGAGCTGATTTTTCAGTGGTTCTAGACATTTGGGAAGATTCACATAAAGTACAAAGATCATGGAAACAGTAGGGCCTCAGTCCAGATTGTAGGTGCTTTAGGGCAAAAAAGACCCTTTTATACACTTTTTACCAAAATTCACTGTTTTTAAAATATATATATATATTTATTGATTTCAGAGAGGAAAGGGGAGGGAGAGAAAGATAGAAACATCAATGATGAGAGAGAATCACTGATTGGCTGCCTCCTGTACACCCCCTACTGGGGATCAAGCCCAAAACCTGGTATGTGCCCTTGACCAGAATCGAACCGGGGACCCTTCAGTCCGCAGGCCAGTGCTTTAGCCACTGAGCCAAACTGGCTAGGACCCAAAATTCACTGTTGATAGCACTAACTTGGAACGTCACCAGTAATACTGCAGATTTGTAATCTAGTACCTTAAAATTTTAAAATTGTGTATAGTGTTATGTTAAAACCCAAGTTACTGAATGTCTGTTGTCTGAAAAAAATATTTCAAAATGATATTTCCCCTTTAATTTTCCAAATGAAAAGGCTCCACGTTGTGACAGAAATGTAATACTTGCTATCTCCCTTCCTGAACTGATAGATACCTGGGAGACTGAAAATGGTGCTGGTCAAGTTGGCTTAGGTTTTGCACATTCTGAGGCTAGTAGACTTGAATTAGGATGTGGCAGTGGGGATTTCAGTGGAGCTGGAGGTGGGATGCAAATGCCTCGTATCTACTAGTCCTGTCTCTTTTCATTGTATTTGAGTAATCTCATTGCTTTCAATGGAGGAATCCTGTTTCACACTGGTCTTTATGGGCAAAGATAATTACGTATATTTGTCTGGGTAAGCAGATCGATAAACTTGTAATAAAGTGTATCAGACCATTTCTTTGGCAGGACTGACCAGAAGAACTT